AATAAAAAGATCAGAAAGAGGTCTGAGCAGCAGCTTAAAGAGCTGGAATATATGCTCTGAATGTGTAAGTCCCAGGTTTGAACTCTAATACCCACCACAGCATCTCCTAAGGACCAACGGGTGTGGCCAAAATAAACTAAACAACGGTCAGAGTGATGGTACAGCTGATACAGCACTTAAACTCACGTTTAATCAATGGCATCCCATATGGTCCCCCAACCTGGCCAGGAGTGATCCAAGAGTACAGAGGCGGTAGTAAGCTGGGTGGGGACCCCAAACAAACAAACAATAAAACCCCACTAAGTGAAACACTCTTCCACTCGAAGGCTCAGAAGAATGAAAAAATTTAATGAAAAGGAGAAAAATCCCTGGAACAGAACAGTCACTTGGTCCACAGGAAGTCCCCGCTGCTCCCTTTCAACTGAGTACCCTGGAAATGGTGCGAGCAGACATGTGGCCTGGCCAGTGGGCGTCGGGCACTCAGGCCCGACTTTCCTAACTGCCTTGTGGCCTTCACTTAGCTTCCGCTAACAGTTTCCAGGCCGCAGGGCATGCAAACAGCCAACAGGTGGTCCCTGAACACTGTTGGGGGTGGTTCTGGTGGCCCCCAGTACTGCTGCAGTGGCTGGGGTTTCCACAGCACTGCACCCTCCGATCTGGCATGGAACGTCTAGCCCAGTTGGCCAAGGTTGGCCAGTGGGGGCCTCGGGAAACCCTACACCCCAACCCAGCCCACCAGGGCAGACTCAATCAAGTGTCTTGTTCTTAAAAAAAGACTCTCCCACCTCTAAAGTCCTCATTCTTCTTGGTTGGGGCCAATGGGATTCTGGCGCCCATGAAAAAGGGCCCTTGAAATCTTTCATTTGTATCAATGTCCCACTCTCCTTAATTCGGGGGGACCATTCTAGTGTTCACTGCAATTTGGACATTTTTGCTTCTAATCTCCCTGGTTGTCCTCCGACCCTGCCCCACACCTCTGAGAAAAAGGCATTCTGCCCATGGCCAGGCTGGGTGAGGAACCTTTACTGCTTTCTGCCAGTTGCTAAAGCAATTTAATATCTAATTAAGTATTTCCACTGGCAAAACCATAACAGTTTGCTCTGCAGTTTGCCTGAAGTCCAAGTAAATTATGTCCATGGTTTTAGCTGGTGTATGCATTGTCCCAGACTCAAATGAATCATGCTGGTCAGGTTCATGGTCTTTCTGTAAATCTCTCTCCAATCTGAATACTCCTAAGGGTGCTAGCTTAACCCCCAATTCTAGGCCAGAGATTCTTTTCCAATTTAGGAGGTGGACTTATGTGGTCATCAGTTTAACTCCTAAACTTTATAACTTGATATATATATATATATAGAGAGAGAGAGTATATATATATATATATATATATATATATATATATATAGAGAGAGAGAGAGAGAGAGAGAGAGAGAGAGAGAGAGAGAAATTTTCTGTATCTAATGAAGCCCTTTACCTGCATGTTTCTTGGTTTGGGGGCCACAGCCAGTGATGCTTACTACTGGCTCTGCACTCAGGGATAACTCCTGGTGGTGCTCTGAGAATCATAGGGGACGCCAGAGATCAAACCAGGGTTGACCACATGCAAGGCAAGCACCTTGCCTGCTGTACTATCTCTCTAGACCCCTATCTGTATAATTTTTAAGAAGAAAAAAAGATAACCTTTTCAGACATCCTTTCATCTGCCATCCCTTCTCAAGTATGTTATTTCTACTTTCTCTTTGCTACTTCCTCATTATTTTTTTTCTCAATCCCTCAAAAGTAAAACTTAAAATATTTGTTCTATTATTTCTGCTGTTATCAATTATGTATTTGCTGCTTCCAGGATACAGCTTATTTCTGGCTTGTTTTCCTTCAGTCTCTCTAACAAACACAAAAGAATCCTTTTGTTCTACAGAAAATTGTCTCAGCTGACATCTAAGACCTGTCAACACACCTCAAGGTTCGTCCTTTCTTATTAGGAGCTTGCTTAAGTCTCTCTCACATACACCCAGTGTGTCACTGACAGCACGGGCTCCCCGAGCTCATTCTCTTGCTTTAGATCTGGGTCATGAAAGGAGAGGAAATTTTATGCCTGTTCTCATTGTAATCTGCAGACAAGCCCTATCTCCTACTGTTCCAATATGATACAAAGCAAAAGAGAAGTATGAAATTCTATCAGAAAACTTTCTTCAAAACAAACCCCAGACTTCTCCATTCCACGAGGGCAAGTGTTGTGAGTCATTCAGATTGTGAATCAAGGAACTGAAGCCCATAAAGTGCTTTCTGAGTCACACTGATGTGGAAAGTAGTTTTTAACTTCCTGTTTAGCAGAACCAATATTTTATGTGATTGAGATTTATTTATATGGGGGAAAGGGGCTCCCCTGCAGTGCTCAGGAAACCAAGATGTGCTGAGGATCCAACTTGGCTTCACGGATGCAAGTCTTGTGTTGGCCCCCTCTGAGCTATCTCTCCTGCTCTGATGTGAATATTTAAAAAAAATTAAAATAGATAATCCCCAAATGAGATACTTGGTAGCATTCTATTACTGCCCCTCCCTCCCCCCCCCCCCCCCCCCCCCGCCCAATTGCACTGCCAGGAGATCAGTAAGAAACTCCTTTCCTATGATACTTTCTTCCACACATTTTCTCCTGTTGTTTTATAACCAGGCAGACCCAAGAAGCCACATTCATCAAATACCAACACCGTCGCTGAAGGAAGGCAAAGGGCTGTGGAAAGTTGGTCAGACTGGCAATTTCTATTTCATATTCCACTGAACATATGGATTATAAAAATATAAACTTGGGTGGAGATCTTCTCCAAAGACCCCTTTCCCACTTGTAAAAATGAAAATGGCAATAATGAAAACCTGCCAGAGGGTCCCAGCGTGCCTGTGTCCATCTGCACCATCATTAAATTCTCCACGTGCCCTCTCTGATGTGTGTCCCCGGGTCCCTGAACCGCCATCACCTGCCTGCATAAGCGATTTCTCTTTTTCAGATGCTTGGCACAGCGGGAGCCCGCTGTTGGAAGTGAGCATCTCTAAGAGGAAGGGGCTGGAATGCAGAAGCCAGGAGGCTGAGGACAGCTGGTGACTGAAAAGGAACGCATAATAGGGAGGGCGGCAACAGCGGTGACCCCCGTGCCCAAGAAAGAGTCCGGGCAAAGTGAACCATCTGAACACTCACATGAACACTAAAACGACAGGAAAAAGAGTGGAGAGACCAGGCAGGAAGAAAAACCTGCCGGATCAATGCCGGGTGGGGGCGAGGGTGAGGAGGGTGGGTGAAGCGGAACCTTTGTGGCAGAAATAAAGCAAACAGAGTCTCTGGACTGACTCCAGGGACCAAAGCGCCCTGCTGCAAAGCAGGGGATGCTGCAGAGGTGGACACTCAGAAAAAAGGATCTAGTGGATTCTGGGAAACTCTCAGCTGAGAGGAGAGAGGGAAAAAAGGCTATGTAGGGTCAGGTCTCAAAACTGCTTTTAGAAGAATTACAACTCCATAAGTTGTAATGGAGCTGGAGCGATAGCACAGCGGGTAGGGCGTTCGCCTTACAAGCGGCCAACATGGCCGACCCGAGTTCGATTCCTCCGCCCCTCTCGGAGAGCCCGGCAAGCTACCGAGAGTATTCGATATGCCAGACACAGTAACAACAAAGTCTCCAATGGAGACGTTACTGGGCCCGCTCGAGCAAATCGACGATCAACGGGAGGGCCTTTTTTACAACTCCATAAAATTATTTCATCTCACTATAAAAATACACTGTAAGCTGTGTATTTTATACTTAATGCTCCAGGTTGTCTAGTTTGCTCTTTCTTTGTGTGTGTGTGTGTGTGTGTGTGTGTGTGTGTGTGTGTGAGAGAGAGAGAGAGAGCAAAACAAATATGCCGAGAGAGAGAGAGAGAGAGAGAGAGAGAGAGAGAGAGAGAACAAAACAAATATGCCAAAAACTAGCATGCAGGAAGGCCTTAGATTTGGGTGGGTACAAATGCCTCATCTGACAGACAGAATTAAGGTGAGTTTGAGTCATTTTAAAGTGGAACAGTTTTATAGCAAGATTTCAAGTCAGCGCCATGGAGGATGGTACCCTAAAGGCACCAGCTCCAGAAGCTACACATTTTTCTTTATGAGATGCACGAACAGAGGGAATAAAGCGTACAGAAACAAGAAAACAGATGACATCTTCAAAAACAAATGTTTCTATAGCTCCACATTATGGGAAAGTAGTTCCATATTTTCAGTCTACTTCATGATGATTTCCTGGACAAGGAACAGTGCTTCATTTTTAATTCATACAACCCTCGTGGAGAGTTTGTCTTACTGAATATGTTTTCTTTCCTAATGCAGTCCTATCGCCCCAGTGGCTGTATCAAAAAAGAACTGCTCCCATTTGTAATCATTATTCGAGGCCAGAATCACTAAATAGGGCTCATTGTTCTGCGTGTAACTGAACTAAGTCACTGGGTCAGGAGCAGACGCAGCTCTTTGAGAACTCAGCTGCACTCTTCTGGCTCGGGATGAATAGAAAGAGAATTCTCTCTTGGCAGAATTCCTCAGATGCCTTACAAGTAACAGGTACTGATGAAAACCTTTAATAAAAAAAAGGCAAAGCAAGAACAAGGGAGCAATTGCTGACAATAGGAGAGAAGTACCATGGTGGACTGAGATGCAGACAAGCTTTCAAGGGGCTGACAAATTTCATCTGGACAGTACTCGGTCCGGCATGGCTATCCTGGGAAATTAGACAAAAAGGAACCTCGGGATGCTCACCAGCTGTCAGAAAAGAAAAAAAAACAGGGACGAAAAACACACTTGGAATTAGAGCAGGTAGCAGCAAGTGGTCAAGGACAGCCAGTGCGCCGCGCTTCTTGTAAATTCAGATTTTAAGAAAAACCGAGGAGGTGGGTGAAAAGAAGGTCTTTAAGAGCCGAATAAATATTGCGATGCTGCAATACTGCGAGGCTTCCGTGCCTTTTTTACTCCCGACACCCCAGCAACTCACCTTTCACACACGACAGGCCGAGCCTCGTTGAGGACGGAGCCCAGGGAGGAGCAGGGCTGCCGAGGCGGTGGCGCGATGGGTACGGCGGGGTCCAGGGGGCCCGGCTTCCGATGCAGTGCATCCTGGACCAGCGTGGCTCCTGAGGGGCCCGGACCCTCCCCGTCGGCAGGGCAGGAGCCAGCCCTGCCGTGGGCGCCCCCCAGGGGCAGCTCGGGCCCCACGGCGCCCTGCAGAGGCAGCTCCCCCGCACCCAGCTCCACTTCCAGGGTTGGGGACGCCGGAGGCGACACTCGAGGCTTGCGTTTCGTAGAGGCTCCGGACAGCAACTTTAACAAACCTTTTTTTTCTTTCTAGAAAGTCAAAAAAAAAAAAAAAGAAAGAAAGAAAACAACACTTTAGTTGGAGGTTAATGGAGCTGTAGCTATTGCAATTCACTGGGTGCCACTGATTCCATTTTTTAATCGGAGCGTTTAAAATTGCTTGTGTGTGTGGCTGGAAGGTTGTAGAGCAGGTGGGGTGCTTGCTTTGAGACCCACCAGGGGCGATTCCTCAGCACAACCAGGTGTGGCCCCCAATAAAAATAAAACAGCTTCTGTGGATACATGGTTCTGGGCAATCCAGGCTCCAATTTCCATATGGAATGATTTCAGTTTCTTTTTTCCTCCCCTGGGAAAGTGGGGCTTGGCATACAAGGGGCTGGATGGTCACTCCTGGCAGAGCTGGGGGTTGGTGCATATGGTGGGTGCTAGGGATGGCACCCAGAGCAGCCTTCCCTTTCAGGTTTCTGGGGACCAGCCTGAAGTGCTTAGGGGCTAGTTCTTGCTGGGTGACGCTGGGAACTGGGCTCAGCGTCCAAACAGCACCATCCCCCACCCCCCCACCCCCCCCACCCCGCCCGCCCCCAGACTAAGCATGGACTATATGCAGCCTGTTGACTGATTGCTCAGGCCCTCCAACTTCTCCCTCTAGCTCTTTTTTTTTTTTTTTTTTGCTTGTGTGTTTTTGCTTATTTTCTGTGGTTTCATTGCTCACCACTATTTCCTCCCGAAGTTGGGTTAAGTCAGTGAAAAAAAGATGTAGAGGGGGGAAAAAAAACACCCTCAACAAGTTGTACCTTAGACTTGGTGGAAGCATACAGAAGTAAACATTGCAGGACAAAAAGATTGATGATTACAGATCTGATTTCCTCAAATTCCGCCTTTCCCACCTTTCAGCGTTTCCTTTTACAGACCCAGACTCCTGACAGTGATCAGAATTAAAGATTAAGGTTGGTCACTTCCTGGATATCCTGATAAAATTGAACAAGCTAGTAATAACCCAAAGCAAACCATTTCGACCAGACAAGTATCTCCTTGATAAGAAAGTCAAAAACAACTAGACAAAGTTTCAAATAAAACCTTCAGCATAATAACAAAAACCTTGTCGTGTTTCTTTTTTGGAAGCCAGTATACAAATAAGAATTATTCTCAGCAGTTTCACTCCATAGAAGCCATTCTCCGAGCTTTGTCCCCAAGGATTGCTCTCTGCTCTGCTGAGAAGGCCCAATCTGGGGCTGACGCATCTTCACTCCTCAGCCCTGGGCGCCCGTGTGTGTTCCTGCTGAGCTTTCTGATGACTGTCACCAATAACAGTCATCATTTCAATTGTGATTTTACTAAAATGTCAACTGCATCATAAGGCTCTGAATGGGAATGTTACTTGAAAAGAAAATATTTTGCAGAAAATTAATTCTTTAGAAAAATCTAGAAGGGGCTGGAGAAATAGTACGCTGTGTAAAGGGCTTAATAATGTGCATGCAGCTGACTCAGGTTCCATTCCCAGCACCTGATATGGCTCCCAGAGCACCACCAGGACTGATCTCTGAGCACAAAGCCAGGACTGAAGGCTAAGCACAGCCGGGTATTACCCAAAACCTCCCCAACAATCTGAGGAAAATTTGGAATTATTACGTTCTACACACAGGGAAATAAAACTGAGGGGCCCACAAAGAAGATATAACATTGAGAGTTCTTTCTTAGGAATATGAATTAGTTCAGATTCGGCAATAATCCCTTGGGGAAAGGGTTCAAATCCATAATGGCACAGTTCCAGTAGAAGCAGAATGGCCGAGAAAAAGAAAAAGACAAAAGTAATCATTCATCCCCAATGGACTACACCACATGCTTATTTACCTAAGCCTGCTCACTGCACCTGTTAACCCAGGGGTTAGCAATGAAAGGAGGGGAGAAGGGTGGGCAAACCTAAGGCCATTTCCATAGGTGCTCAGCTTGGGCTGCAGATGAGATGTGCAGAGTCAATTCATCCATCTCCTCCCGCCGCCCACCGCAGCTCAGCTGGAGGAAGATGCTTTTGCATTTCTTTTCAAGATCTGACCTCTACTCACCCTACTGACTTTTATTCCATTCAGTGAATTTCAATTTCACATTTGCCAACAAGGTACTGTACTGCATTCTAATAAATGACCCTGTAAACCTGAGCTACCTGCTTGAATACAGTTCCTGTTCCTCATACACTTGTGTCATATTCAGTTGCTCCTGCTGAACCAGCTCCTACCAAGTTCAGGAATGGGAGAAAGAGGAGGAGACATGTGGGAAGAAGGGAAAGCATTTCATGAGTCCCTGAGCTAAAGAAATAAAGACGATATTTTGGATTTCCCAGTCCAGGGGTGATAAATCTATCTCTCTGCACAATGGCCATGAAGTACCTTAAGGAAAACATCCAGGCTAAAAATGAAAAAAGAGTGAAACCCACCCAATATATCACACTTCTAAGGGAGCGGTCAGAGGCTACGTCCAGCTACTCCCCCATGATGTAAGAATGCACACTCGAATTCATGGGTCCATCCAGATCCACCGGGAACATCAAGTTTCTTGATAAATTAGAATTACACTGGGTCCCAGCTAACGACCTTTTCTTTTTCTTTTTTTTTTTAATTATTCAGTGTATCTTTTATTACTAAGTATTAAAAAGATTTGTTTCAAATGTCCTTTATACATTAAGGAGATTGTGTAAAAACAATAACTTTACAAAAAGTTAAAGTATCAGCTATGTTTAGAAAACATAAATTATGCTTCAGTTGTAGAAAATAAAATATAATATCACAAACATTCAAAAAATTGTTTTGGCTGCCCTAAATTTCTGTTTGCTGTTCATCTCTGAAGAGCCATATTTAGACACTACTAAAATTAAAAAGAAACTTTTCAGATAAAAGAGGTTTTATACTGGCTCAGAGATAAATTTTCAAAAACACACTAAAACCACATTTTCTGTGTGTCAGCTTCTGAGTACTAGGTTTAACTGTTAAGCTTCCCAGTTCAAAGATAATTAAAAGTTATCTCTTTTTTTTTTGTCTTTTTTTTCCCCTTTATTTTATTTTATTTTTTTTTAAAGTTGTAGATTTACAATTTTTTGTGCTTTGGTTTCAATTATACAATGATCAGATACCCATCCCTCCACCAGTGCCCATTTTCCACCACCATGGATAATATCCCTCCCACCCCCATCCCCCTATCCCCCCTGTCTCTGTGGCAGGGCAATCCCCTGTGTTCTCTCTCTCCTTTTGGGTGTTGTGGGAACGACCTTTTTCTTAAAAGTTCCGTGTGCTGGGTACTCAGAAAAATGGCAATGGACTGAAAGGCACCCAGGGAACAGCTTCTGAAGTGATTAATAAGAAAGATGAGTCAGTTCATCCAGAATGATCAAACACATTAAATACAGATTGCCTTAATGACTTCTAAGGGATGTGTTATCATTAGCAGCTGATGCTGACGACCCACAAGCAGAAGGCAGAGGATTAGGTATGGGGGGGGGTGAAGGTGGGAGGAGCAGCTACCACAAAGAAATGATGCTGTGCTTTGAAAACCGTGTTTCGAGGTTTTCAATGTTCCATTCATGGAACAACAGAGCACTGGAGAGAGAATTCTGCAAGCTCAGACACTTATCTAAGGGCACCTTTTTTTCCTCAAAATTCAAGAGCAGTAATGAAGTGTACGGATAAATTAATAAAGACTACACTTCAGTCATGTAAATTTTAAAATGCAATGCTTCATGAAAAAAAGGCACTACTGTCTTTTTTTTTAATTCTAAAACAACCTTTGTTTATTTTTATATCTATACATAACATTTATTTTAGTTATCTTTTGTTTCTTTCTGAAGTTTTATTTATTTTTTTCTTTTTTAAAATTTTTATTAGTGAAACACTAACACCCAAGAATAGCCGAGATAAATACCAGGAAGGCATTGTCTTTTAAACAGATCTTTTCTCCTGTGGGGTTTCCAAGAAAATATTCCTAGAGGAAAGAGTGTTTCTTGTAGTTCTAGTTGGCTCAGCAGAAGATGCAATGATTTAAAACCACACTTTAAAGAACTATCTAGGTAAGAAAATACTCACCAGTTAGCCACAAAGAGTAATTTTTCCATACAAAAATAATTTGTGAGCACCAACTTAAAAACTTTCCATTAGTCATATAACAGACGACGAACAAAATGGGGGACCTTATGAAATCAGAACTCCTTCCCAAGTAAACATGCATTACATCTGAGTCACATAGTTAAACTCCTTAAACCCGAGTCTTCCTTTTTTGCTCTTCCCCTGAGCTCAGCTGTCCAAAGATAGTAACAAAAGAGAAAGTCTTCCTGGCCACTCAGCAAAAATCTACAGTCAGGCTGTTTTTGGTAAAAATTCTCAGAAATCTAATCCTGATCACTGATAATAAGCGCTTGATCTTTTAGCAAATACTGACAGTGCCTCACACCAGCTCTCTAGGAGAGACACAAACATAAGCTGAGGCTTCACAGGAAGCCAACACAGGGCTAAGTGGAGAGGGTCCCGGCAGTGCTGTCTGAGGTGGGTTCTGGGTCTAAAGGATGCATGCAAAGGTCACATGAAACTTGAGAGGTGGTTAAACACCACTGAATTCAAGCATCTTGTTAAGTGCTTTCACTTGGACATCCAAACCCATTGCTCAGACCCACAGGATAAGATAGGAATCGATATTAATTCTTGTGACCAGAACCTTGCTAAGCTCCTCTGACACACCCGTGCTTGTAAGAGGTGCAGGTGGAACTGAGGCTGGGGGCTGAGCACAGGAAAAGCCTCAAGAGGCACATGGAATTTGCTTATACATGGATGGACATGCATAGTATCATGCTGAGTGAAATCAGTCAGAGAGAGAGGGACAGACATAGAATGATCATATCATTTGAGGAATATGAAAAAAAATTCATAGTACGGGAAAAGCATAATAAAACTAGGTCCAGGAAGACTGGTACATAGCAGGAAGCTTGCCATCAAGGGGAAGGGGGAGGGCAGTTAGGACAGAGAAGGGATCACTATGACAATGACAGTTGG